CAGGATGAACTTTCCTAAATCAGACTGTGTTCTTCATTACTCCAGGACCTCAACTGGCTCCCTTCTTCTGACGGTAAATCCTGGGACTAGGGTGGCCCTGTAAGACCTTGCCCCATCAGCCATACTCTCTGCCCTTAACTGTTATTGTTTTCTCCCTTTTTAAACACTGATCTATCTCAGGTTCATGGACCTTTATACAGCCTCTGTATGAGCTGTCAGAAACGATGCTCTCTCTTCATGCTCACCCCAAATGTGAGCATGTCTCAGAGGAACCTGCTAGATAGTCCACAGGACATACTCTTGGTAATGAGTCATCCTTCACTGTTACCTTCCTACAGCTAGAATATGCCCAGTGTGGAGAGGCTTTCTTCTGTTTGTTTAACTGCTATATCCCAGTACCTGGACCCATGCCTGGCACGGGTTTGGGATCTAGTGCCTGTGTGTTTACATGATTAGTTTTGTAGTAGTGTTAGTGGAGAGTCCTGCTTTTCCAGACCCTGTAGCTTCATTTTATTTTCAGGAGGTGATGGATGGTCCCTCATTCAGGAAACACAAACAACATGTAAACCTAATTCAGACAGGAGGACTCCAAGGCCAAACATAGCTCATTCTACATTCACATTCCAAGTTTGTAACATAATATATATTGTATTCACTAAGCATATTTTGAACAATACGATTTTTTGCTGTCTAAGGCAGTGCTACTCAATTCGTTTCCTGGTCTGCAATATCGGCATTCCCCATATGAATGTGTCAGAAGTACACATTCTTAGTCTCTGCCCCAGGCCACAGGGGTGTGTCTCAGTATCCTATGCTTTCATAAGCCTGTGCATGATCCTGGGGAGCCCCCAAGCTGAAGAACCATGGATCCTTCCAGTCCCTTGACTTCTTATTAGCCTTAATGTCCTATACCCTTGAGTACTGTGAACTTAAGTTAAGAACAGAGATTGTGGGCCCCAGAGAAACAGGCTTATTCGAAGAGACAGAGAAATGTATTGTAGGATTTGCAGGCTGTGAGAGATCATAGAAGCATCCCAAGACACTGATTATGAGCGAATTCTAAAGGCAAAGAGGAATCTGTGAGCTGTTTCCAAACAAACACCATGGGTCAGGGTGCCCTGCGGCAGCTCCAGTGTGACATCACTGCTAGGCAGGTGTCCTTGGGAAGACGCCATTTTGGAGTCAGTACAGGCATGATGGAGTTCCTGTTAAAATCCTGTTACATGGGCATGTGATGCTGGTGATGGGCAAGGAGGAATGTCTCATAGACTTTTAAAATTGTTTAAATTTTAGAGCTGTGTGCACAGCGTCTTCTAGTCAGACTTGTCTCAACTACTCTTTGAGTCCCATGTGAATTCCCTGAAACATTGACAAGTTCCATGGTAAGAATAGTATAAGTGTGTTTTATGTAAATAATCATATGGTCTCTCTTAGATTAGATACTTTCTCCTGCCTATAAATACCTGAAAGGCACTCTCTTGGACTGTAGACATTTTTTTTTTTTGGTAATAAAGAGTTAAACTACTTTTTCTAGAAAAGTAAAGCAAAGCAAAGCTGATTCTCCACTCTCATCCACACATGCCCAGGGTCTGTAAAAGCAGGCAGAACGTCTGTCTCTACCTTCATTTTGCATCTGTCTCTTTTACTGCCTTATAATAATGGATTGGATTCCCACTCAACTCTGCGTGCAGACATGATGCTCACATGAAGACTGGCTGGACCAAGTGGCTCATCCTTCACCTTCAAAGCTGAAGACAAAGTATGGGTAACAAACGGACACACCACCAGCATATTACTTAACAGCTTTTTTCTCCCATGCTTGCATGCAAACCAAGAGAAAGAACCACCATCCTTGTGTTCTAGACACAGCACAGCCTTACAGGCAGCTCACCCTTTTGAGTCACTGGTCCCTAAGTAAAACCAATTATCCTATGAAAGGAACGACTAAGCTCCCTACCCCTGCTCACCAAGGAAGCAGGGGCTATTATCTCAGGATACAAACAGAACTGGCCCTAGAATTATAGGACCTCTCCAGGGTCTCACAGAGCTAGCGGCTGACAACAAGGCCGAAGTGTTAGCTAGGCTGACTGGCTAATCCTATCACTGCTCCTGCTCCAACTCTTCTATTTACACTGGAGACGTACATCCGAATCCTGAGGTCAGGTCTGAGGATGCTGCCTCCCTTTTCACATCATACCTACAGTGACTAAATCCCTTCCTTGATTGTCAACATGGCTTTCTTGCTTTGGTTTCTGGGATAAAGGACAAGTCAGCCCTCCCATCCCACCACAGCTGCTTCTAGCGCTAGATGAACCCCTAGTTAAACCTAGGTGGGGAGAGAGTAAACACAGACTGTAGTAAACTGAATAAGGTATTTAGTATATACACACGGAATTATTTTTGCTCTTATTCTTGTTAAGAAAATGAGTAGAAAGGTTGGGTTTTGCTCAAAAATATAATTGTATCTTTTATTTTTTAGAAAGTTTGAATATAATATTATAGAATTAGTTGACTAATCAACTAATTAATCAACTAATTAATGAACTGAGTTGGTCAATAAACATCTGAAAAGTAGGAAGAATAAACTATTTTAACGCTATGATTAACTCTCAACCATCCCCACTTTACACAAAATATATATGGTCATCCTATTGGTGAACAATACATATAGGTTTTTCTGTTGATATTTGTACAACCCACATTTCACTAAACTTCACTGGTAACTCACAAATTAAAAAACAAACCCTTAACTGTACGATTTGTGGATCTGCTAACATGACACATTACACCATTTGTTACAACTACAGAGTCACAATAGGTTTCCACATCGCACCTTAAAGTCAGCTATGCTTTTTATTTTTCATTACCTCATAAGTGACTGCCATAGTCATGTGTACAGGTGTCACAGAAGATGAATATCTCAAGTCTCTCATGTCCATGAAGCTCTATAACTGCTGTCCGTGGCAGGCTCAATAGCCTGACATCCACAGGGGTATATACAAACCACCAAGCAGCCTACACCTCACCCATCACTTCATCCTGTCAGCTCTATGACTCTAACTCACATTTTTGATGTTGGTCAGCATATGAGAATATTACAGTTATAATTTCTTAAGACATTTTTCCTATTAAACTGCATTTGTTCTGCTATTTATGTTGCTTGTCTGTCCATCAAACTGGTCAGCATCATAATTCCCACCAGAACTGACTGCTTGTTCCCTGAGGGTCATCCCTTGGGTATTTATTTGGCCCCAGACCCATTCTTTCCTGAGGTAAATACATCAACAGGACTTGTGGTCTGAGGGCAGACAGGCTTGTGCAGGCTTCGAAGGCTGTCTAAATCCTGTCCTTGAGCAATAGTTTTTTGGGGTGTGTGTGCTAAGTTGTAAGTTCAAGGTACCGCCCTTGGCAGTGTCTGACTGCTCCACTCTCCCTGTTCTCTTACTTCCCGTGGGGGCATCCTGGTTGCTGGTCTCATCTAGCTAAGCCAGGCTCTCTTTAATTTTAGGACCTCTTTGTCCTGGGTGTTCTTTCCTTTGTGAGGTGAGCTCACGTTTGTTTGTCATGGTTAGGGTAAGTATGCCTAACCTCTGGGACAATCCATTTTTCTATGCAGCTACAGCTGGGAACTCTACTGTTGTTAACTACAAGACCATTCACAGTCTTAAAACTCAATTAGACTGTATGTACTCATTTTAACAAGAGGCATTTTCTAGTATTTTAAGCTTCCATCTTCCTGGCCTCCAGATCTCCGATGCAGAGAAAACATGCTAGTTCAGGCCTATCTGTATCTATGTGAGAGAAGAAAGAAACTACTCTAGAGTCAATTATTGGCTTTTACCTGTATGCATAGCCAAAATTACTACTATTCTACCATTACTTATTCATATTAGATAATAAAAGCTCAAGGGAATATATCAATATTATCAATGTAACAAAATGAAGACTGAGCTAGGCTTTGACTCTCTGGACCTTCCCTCATTCTAATCACAAACATGATATTAAGACGTGAGACCCTTGGGACCTCAGGAGTGGGATTAATGTCATGAGAATGAATTCATGATTGATCACTACAATCAAACAAGAGACTATTTCACCTGGAATGTATAGGAACCCAGATAATGTGCACCTCAAAATATATTTCTGGCATGAGAATTATTTTGAGTATTTGTTAAAGAGTCAGTGGACCCAACATTTGCTTTTTTTTTTTTTTTTGTATTTTTATTTTCTTTTTAGGCTTTGAATCCCTTCTGCAACATGAAGATGTGGGCTTCATCTCCTCTGTGAAAGACACCAACAAGATGCCTTCTGAGGAACAGGAGCCAGGCCCTTCCAGATTCTACCTCCTGGGACCCCCACTTTGAATTGTCCAGTCTTCCGGATTTTGAGGTAGACATCCCCATGCACTAGACATGTCCAGTCTTGAGCATTTGCTGCTAGATAAATTCGCTGCTGCAACTTCTAGTATTTACCAACGAAAATGCTTGAAATGAGAAGGAAGGGGCCTTTTATACCAGTGTACTGACATCATGACCTAGGGTCAGAAACTGTGAAAAGGAAATAAAAACTGAAAAATATCCTTGCCTTCCTTTTCTACATCATTGAAAACAGTCAAGGAAAGTACAGTTAAGAAAGTAAGAAATTAGAAAAGCCAAGCATGAGGCAGACATGTGTGCTCTTAGTTGTATACCCAACCCCTAACATTGCTCGTCACATGTCTTTAGCACTACACCTCCTCAAAGGAGAAACATTCGCGTTCACAGCCCACACACCATTAGCATCTTTTACATCCACTCTGTAATGACCTCTGATTTGTTGTACTTGGTATTACATGTACTACCCTCACTGTCTACAACTGTGTCTCCTCAGGATGTCCCCCTGTGGTGACTTAAGAGATTCCAGCCACAAACATACAATAAAGCAAGTCTGTGCAGGCCTACTCTCTGGAGAGTTGCTTAAGAAACACATTCAGTCGCCTTGAGCAGAATAACTGCACTTACCCAGACCTCTGGCTGCTTCTGAATCACTCTTGCTGTCTGTGTCCAGAATGACCGCCAGCCCCACAGAGTCTGCTGGCAGGACATGGCTGCTGAGGTCCACTCGCGTCAAGCTCCTGGGCCCCCATACGAAGCCCTCTAAGGTGCTCGGGGGTTTATCCCCTCCAGATGCATTTGTTTCATGACTCTTCCTCTGTGGTCTCTGTACTATGTGAACGATACTCTGTTGTTCCAGGTCACAGCTCTGTGAGGGGGCCAGGCAGAAACACAAGATAGTGAAGAACATTATATGCAGGTAGAGTTTAAATTGTCCTCCGTGCTAGAGCATATAAAAATAGTTTAAAGACTACTTAATGAGTCTGATTCCTACCAGCAACAGTGGCACGGGATGGAAAGTAAGGTGTGCTTGGTTGACTTATTAACATTTACTCTGCCAGTGGGGGCACAGAACATATACACTTCATGTGTCAGGCAGGCAACATGGAACTGGAGCTAGATGTGGACATTTGAAGGAAAGTTAAAAACTATGGAAACATCAGAAGATTGTGAAACTTAGTAGGAAAGCAGATCTTAATGTATCCATAAGTGCTCTGCAAGTAATAGTCACTTAAGACTAATTTACCTCTTGAGTGCTTTGTCCTTAACTCATTTAATTTAAATACCGGTAGTCATTTCTGCTTCCTAAAAGCACTGAAGGTTATTATCAATTACAGGGTTCTTCTATACAGAATCATAATGACCGTGCTTGTGGCAGACTATCTCTTCCTGTCCTTACTGCCATGAGCAAGCATACTACAGCACCAACAGGGAAGCTGGTGAAGGGCTTGTCTGCCCTTATGCCTACTTGTGAGTAAAATCAGTAACCACTTTATGATAAAACCTTCTTGCTCCTATCTTGTTCTTAATGAACAGGATCCTGTAAAATCTAGAATAAAAGTTAAGGGTCATGTATTTGCTAAGGCAAGACCTAGACCACTCTAGGGCAAGTCCTAGTTTATAGTAAGTAGTACATAGGAACATCCTTCTTCTGCCTTTTCTAACAGAGCCAACATCTGCCTCCTCCCTTAATGCCCACATCTCTGTGCTCATTGGTTCATTGCTATCCTCTGTCATTGTGAGAATGGTCAGTAGATACAATCACATAAAAGACACAGTGCATTCTTCCTTCTCCTGTGTCATCCTTGAGCAATCTCTTTACTGTCATCATCAAAACTCTTTGAGGACCGTGACCTCTGCCACTCAGCTGAATCCACCACCAAGGACACTGCAGCTTGGTGTGTGCCTCCTCTAGTCAGAAGTTGGCTAGAAGGTCAGCATTCCAACCTCTTGCCATCCTCCTGCTCTCGCCTCTCTAACACTGACAGGCTTGCTCTGTCCTTAGTCCCAGAGTCTCCTCACAGTGGCTCTTACTCAAAGTGTCACTATCTGCAACCCTAATCATCCTCTGTCCCTGAGGCCTCGGCTACCTCACCCCTCTATTTCTATCAGAGCACCGCCTGCCAATTTCTACAGCATCTCAAGACCCCCCTCCAATGCTGATTTCCATTCTGTGATATTGACCAGGCTTCAGTCACTGAACTAAACTTGTCCTCCCTGCCTTGTTACATCCAGCATGGTATCCAGAGTGACTGATTAGTCCCCGGAAATGGCCTTCCCATCTTCATTGCCCTCAAAACCCCGTTGCCACCTCCCCATATTAGGCCTTCATTATTATGACAACTTGGTAATTATCCCCTATATATCTGGTTTCTGCCGCCCCAGGCTGCTCCAGAGAAGAAGCTTTGGTATGTACATCGAACTATCACATGACTAGTGTGTTTATTCCTTTCTCCTCTCCAGACTTCTGGCAAGTGTTTATGTTCTTTGCTTATGTAGAAGGACCATCCTCCACAAGTATCCATGGCCATGAGATACGTTAAAAGGCACCCATGAGGCTCCTTCCTCCTCATCTTCATTTTATGTTTAGCCATATGGCTGGCCCTAGACTACTGATTTTAGCAGATGGGATGGAACTAAGGTTTGGAATGCTTTCGCCTGGGTTTCCTCTCCGGGAGGTGCAGGGGTTCCATCAGGCTTGTCATGTTCTCCATGTTCAGAACTGAAGTCCCAGAAAAAAAGTGGTATCTTCCTCATCAGAGTTACAAAGCTCTTTGTCCGCCAATGTCTACTGATCACAGAGTTCACAGCTTAGATTGTGTGTGTGTGTGTGTGTGTGTGTGTGTGTGTGTGTGTGTGTGTGACATGTGCAGTCCAAGGTAATTTAGAAAATCTGTATAGTGATCACTGGTCATGCTTACACATGTATTATCTAAAGCCTCACACAGTATTTTGAACCTAGGGATGTGGGATTTTACTGAAGAGAAAAAATGTTTAACAGATGAGTAGCTGGATGAAGTAGCTGGATGGGTATGAAGAGTCCTGAGCCCTGGTCCCACACAGCTTCATGGAAAGCCAGCAGAACTCAGGTTTAAGAACAGCATGGAAAACCCCATATGGAAGAAATACAATAGACTCCTGTGCAAGTGTTAGTTTCTGCATGATGGGGTAGCTTTCCTCCAGTTTACTATTTTCTGTATAGCAGGGCAAGCTCTCCCCATCCTGTTTTATTAGTTTCTTTACGACAGGGTATCGTTCCTGCTGTTTATTAGTTTCTGTATGATGGGGGTAGGTTTTCCTCACTACTTACTAGTTTTTGTATGATGGGGTGGCTTCCTCCTTCCCTCCTCCTGTTTATTAGTTTCTGTATGATAGGGGTATCTTCCCCCATGTATTAGTTTCTAAATGACGAGGTATCTCTCCCTCCATGTTTTATTTCCCACATTAATAATGATATTGTCGAATCAAAGACTGCTCTGGAGACTAAGGAAAATGTGAAGAATCTTATATCTATCACATATCAGTCTTGAAAATGGACGGCCGTGGTTTCCACTCCTATGATCCTGATGGAAAACATACAGAGAAGGTAGAACATGAAAAAGGTATAAATGTGGGCATTCTGGCAGAATCTCAGCTTTCTTTGTTCTAAAAATTAATTAAAAAGAATTCCTCTCTGCTCAAGATCTCTTTGGATGCAAGAGGAGCCTGGGCATATTTTCTGGGGCAGATGAGGAAGAAATCCTAGGGATAAGCCACCCTCTCCTCTCATGTCCAAATATCCCTGACTTCCAGAATGCTCAGTAAAGGGACTTCAGTAGTTACAGTGGTATTTACAGAACATATTTCCAAGTCTCCATCCATGGTTCTGAGATCTATAATTGCTTAATTCTTTAACTCTCTCACAGAAAACACTGTTGATCTGGAGGTCCCTTTGCCAGATGGTGTACTTGCATGTCATGCCAACACAGCCCAGAGCCATGCTAATAGCCAATTCCATGGACAATAAGCTAGATAAAGTTCATCTGTGTGTCTATTCCAAGGCCACAGAAATATGCAGTTCATGCAGTAGTTAAACTCCCCTTCTCCCCAGATTTCAGGGCTAGAGATTTTAGGTAGGAAGAACGGCAAGTGGAGCAATCCAGTATGATTGCACAGTCCCTGAGAGTCAAGGCAATCTTCCCCTGAACACACCAATATTCTTAGAAGGAAATCAAAACAAAACCATTGCCTAATAAGCAAGACAATATATTCATTTTTTATTTTGTTTATAATAACTTGTTTCCCCAAGAAGAGGGACAGCGGCTAAGTGTTTTATAAGCAAAACAGGTAAGTATTCATCCAGCTGGGCAGATGTTAAGTTTCAACTTGGGTGGTAGACCTGTTGGAGACTGAGAGATCGATTAGTGTCTCAGGCTCCCTCCAACAGGACCTGTGATATACTGTTACTACTCTAGAAAATAAAAACCAACTCTCATCCAGGCAGCCAGAGTCTGAGAATACCTAAAAAGAAGACAAGCAGAGCCTTCCTTTTCTCTAAGCAGGCCCTATTGCGATGTTTCAGAGTTTGGTACTCTAAGACCTTAGAAATGAGAAACATTTTGAAAACCAGATGCTGCTAATCTATAACATAACTCTGCACCTAGGGCCCAGGGATCATTCTGAAAGAGAGAGCAGAACTATTGTTCGAGCCGGAGGATCAAGGAGTTTGCTGTGAGATTGTATCTCCTAAAAATATGCTGCACCCATAAAGGCCCACTAACAGTACTGCCTAAGCCCCAGGGAAGAGCACACCGACTGTTTATCCAATACCAAATGGTCACCTCTGGAAACATATAAATGGCAACATTATATAGATAAAATATGTTCTATTTATGTATTTTGTAATATATTACGTGTGTATATGAGTGTAACTGAGCGAATATACACATATGTGTGTGTGTCTTCATGTAAGTACATATCTATGTTAGAAATATATCTGTGTGTATATGTGTATGTGTGTATACATCCATATGTTCAGAATATAAGTGTCTATATGTGTATCTATGTGAATATATATATATGAATGCTAATAAAAATAGGCCATTAATTTTGAAAAAGATCAGGGGGAATGGAGAGAAGAAGGGAAAAGGGGAAATGATCTAGGTATACTACAAATTCAAAAATATAAGTAATTTAAAATGTTCTTAAATTTTGAAGCTTTGCAAATATAAGTATATTCTCTGACAAGAAAAGTTAATAGAAAATGGAAAGTTATCAGGATGTTACCAGACACTTGATGCAGAGCCTAAGAGAACAGCCTCGGCCAGTTTCTAAGGAGATGCTGGTACCAGAACAGCATGCCTCCACAGAGTGCTTTTGCTCTCTGTGTTACTCTCTGCCAGTATCTTCTGAGTCTGAGTACATCTCCCAAAATTCAGATGCTGAAAAGTGATTACTCATGTGATATCAATGATGGAGGTCCTGTAGGAAGTGAACAAGTCTTCAGGGTGGAGGAGGGGGGTGCAGTCAGTAGGCATCCTTGTTAGCTAGCGCCTGAGCTTGGGGTTCCCAAATGTCAGGACTATCGAAACAAATTTATGTTCTTTATAAATTTTCTTGTGTAAGGTATTGTATTCATGTAGCCACATGATCTACTAAGAAACAATATCGCTAATGAGTTAGAACTGTGCTCGGGACACAGAAAGCGAATTGCACATCATTAACTGTGGCCACTGGTGTTCTCGTTTCTACTCTATGGAAGATAAACGAGCCACCAAGGAGTTAAAAATGGGCCCGAGGTCACCCAGTCTTCAGTGTGAAAGAGTACCGATAGCTTCACTCAAGCTGAGTCTAGAAAATAGAGACACGGGTGGGGTAGAGTAGGCTGAG